ATCACCACCCCATCACCGTCCCCTCCCTCTGCCTGCTGGCATGCACCTTGGCTGTCCTGGTGCCACCTGCTTGCTGGCCCTGCCCCCCCCCCACCCCTGCCTAGTGGTCGTTCTGCTGTTTGGTCAATTTGCATATTATGCTTTTATTATATAGGAATTATATAGGATGGTTATGTAGATCAGAAGTCTAAAACAGTGTTACTGTGTAAAATCAAGATGTCAGCAGGACTGAGTTCCTTTCTGGAGGCTCAAGTGGGAGAATCTATTTCCTTGACTTTTAAAGTTTCTAGAGCAGTGATTCTCAACCTTCCTAATGCCGCGACCCTTTAATACAGTTCTTCATGTTGTGGTGACCCCCAACCATAAAATTATTTTCATTGCTACTTCATAACTTAATTTTGCTACTGTTATGAACTGTAATGTAAATATCTGATATGCAGGATATATTTTCATTGTTACAAATTGAACATAATTAAAGCATAGTGATTAATCACAAAATCAATATGTAATTATATATGTGTTTTCCGACGGTCTTAGGCGACCCCTGTGAAAGGGTCGTTCGACCCCCAAAGGGGTCACGACCCACAGGTTGAGAACCGCTGTTCTAAAGGCTGTCTGTATTCCTTGGTTTGTGGCCTCATCTTCTAAAATATTGGATTGATTCCTCACACTGTTTCACTTTGACTCTTCTGTATCACATCTATTTTTAGATTCTCTTATTTTGTCTTCCTCTTTTGCTTTTAAGGTCCTGATTGCAATTCTTGTGATTACATTGGACCCACTTGGATAGTTTAGGGTAATCTTTCTATTTTAATGCCAGTTGTTTAACAACATAAATTACATTTGTTATCTTAATTATCCTTTGGCACTTACTAGTAAAGTAATATATTGAAAAGTTCCAGAGATTAGGACATGACATATTTGGGGATGTATACCACAATTAGAATATGCATATGTGATTTTTCAATCTACTGTTATCAACGTTTTACCACTTTAGTGAAATGTGGGAACCTCACTTCCATTTAGGTACCTTTACATTCTTCACTTTTAAATATCATTGTCTTAGTATTAGGTTGTATGATAATTTTTGTTGTAATCATCAAATAAGATTTATAAAACTCATGATAAAAGGAATAATCTATTGTATGTACACATATATCTTATCTTTCCATTGTTCCCTTTTTGTTTCTTATGTTCCAAGAGTATTTATTTTACCAATTAATTTATGTTTGAAGAAATTCACTCTTATAATAATTAAGAATGGGTCTGGTAATGAGAAATTCTTTTAGTTTTTCTTTAAGATTGTCTTTAGTTCTTCTTTGTTCTCCAAGGATAGTTTTGCTGGATATAAGATATTCTTTCTTTTAGCACTTGAAAAATATTGTGCCACTTCCTTTTGGCCTCTGTGGTTTCAGGTAAGGAATCTTTTGTGACTCAAATTGGTGTTCTCCTGTAGGTAATTCATCTTTTCTCTTTGGCCACTTTCAAAATTATATTCTTTATTTGTAATTTTCTAAACTTTAATTATGATATATCTTGGTGAGGATTTCTCTAGGTTTATTCTGTTTTACTCAGCTTCTTGAATCTGTGTGGGGGTTTTTTCTTTACCAAATTTAGAAAGTTTTCAGGTATTATTTCTTTGAATATTGTTTTAGTTCCACTCTCTTTTCCATCCTCTTACACTCTGCTAACACACATATTACATCTTTGTTATGGTTCCACAAGTCCCTGAGACTTCATTTTTTTTTTCTTAGTCTGTTTTTTCTCTGTTGTACAGAATGAGTGGAAGATTTACCTGTGTTCAAGTTCACTGATTTCTATCCTGTGTCATCTCCACTCTACTAATGAGCATATCCAGTGACTTTTTTATGTTGTTATATTTTTTTATTTATGTAATTTCTACTTTGTTTTCTTTTATAGCTTCTATTTATTTGCTGAGAAATTTCTATTCTTTTTTTTTAAAAGACTCTGACTTTGAAGTATTTTTATGATGGCTTCCTTAAAATTCTTGTCAGATAATCCTGACATCTGAGTCATCTCAGTGCTAGCAATAGTTGATTGTCTTTTCTCACCAAAGATGTGATTGTCTTTGTTCTAAGTATAATGGATAATTTTCAATCACATCCTGGAAATTTTGTCTATTATGTTAGGATTTTGAGTTATATTTAAACCTCTTTTTTAGCAGGCAGTCACATTGTTTAAGTTTTTGCTTATGTATTCTGATGATGTAATTCTTTAGATGTATAAAGGTTCAGGATTGTTATATTTCCCTGGCAACTTGCTTCTTTTTTGCTTTACATATAAGAATGCATCTTGCCTCGAAAACTATTTATTGGATTCTGTCACAAGAATTTGCCTTGTAGAGCTTTTGAATTGTGTGTATTCTTTTCTATCTTCTATATTATATTCTGTATTATTTTATTTCACTTCTTATCTAACAATCAATATTTATTATGAATATTATTACTATATCAAATGATCACTTATATTTAATAATTTCATTTTTTTACACTTTATCTTACCCTGTTTCCCCCATTTTTTCTTCTGGGTCTAACTTCTATCTTGCTGAAATAGATCCTTAATGACTTTTCACTAGCAGTCCCTCTCAGTTTTTGTTTTGTGTTTTCTTGAAATGACCTTATCTTTCTCTTATTCTGCAATATAAAGGTAGTTCAGGATAGAATTCTACCTTGAGAGTTATTTTTGCTCAGCACTTTGAAGATATTAATTTTATTTTTTTCAGATAAATTTATTTATTTTTAAATTTATTGTCAATGCAATTGTTCTATACAGAAATCTGTGGTTTTCTTTTGGTTATATTTACCTATCTATTCATCTAGACATGATTTATTATAATTTTCTAGTCTTAATGATCAGTCTCTATCAAAAGGAAAGAAAAATATTTATACTATCAAAATAAAAATCCATATCTTCTTCTATTACAGAAAATTCTTAACAGCTCTTCTTCAAAATCTCTCCCATAAGAGAAAGTTGGATTTTTTCTACCCAAAATTTACATTCCATAATCCTGGAGCATTTTAAATACAGATTGGGGAGAGGGGTCTCACCAAGTGGTGAATGTAAATTCCATATTATGTCTGTTTTCTTTAGTTTCAGATAATTGTGTCTTTTTTACTTAACCTCAGACCCTAATATAAAATACTGTGCAGGGATTTTTATTTTAGCCTTATTACTTGTAGAAAATAAGCCTCTGTGGTCCATCTTCAGTGTAGTTAGCTTTCAGTGGAAATATACTAGCAGCATGCTTACCAGCCAGTTACTGAACCACAAGGCTTACGCAAATAAAGTCTCGGGGCAAACTGTAATAAGAACAAGGAAATGTGTATGTGACCAACAGCACCTATTCCAGGAAGACCTTCCCAGCACAGGGAGGTGGAGACAGCTAGAAAGGTCCTCAGCCTACTTTTTGAATAACCCAATGGAAAACAGTAAGACCTAGGTGACATTCGCGGGAGAATGTTAACCCATAGTACTCAGCGGATGAGGAACCTGGGGAGAGACTCTTGCGCACTAGGGATAAATTGCTTGTGGTAACTGCTCAAAAGGGTGTGCCTGCCTCCACCAGTCACCCGATCTTGCAAGACCGCCATTAAAAGTTTTGCTTTCGCTGTCTTTGTGTCTCTGAGTCCTTAATTGACTTCAGACAGGTGAGCATGTTTTTCATGTTACTTAACATCACATCTTCTGTTCCAGCATGGAAGGTGACACTTAAGCCTCTGTTTTCAAGCTACACCCGGTTCTTAAGTGCCTCCTAATATTCCTCTTCTTCATCTGAGCTTTGTTGTAATTTAATTTATGGATTGTACATCCAAAATGTCTATTAGTATGTGCTTTAGCTGAAAGAAGGCTTTTTGTAATATCTCAATATATTATGCTGCCAGAAATCACGTGAGCAAGTCTGAACACCTACCTTTTTTGGGTGAGGTGGACCAAAATATTTTGTCTAAAGTTGGGCAGTCACTTCAAAGTAAGAAGCATTCCTCTTGTGTTAGAAATGGATGAGGTCCAATTATAAATCCATCACCTTATTTGAGGTAGTAATAAGTATCAGACAAGAAATTACATGTATTTCTCACAAGAAAATTTCATGCATTCCATGTCCTGTTTATATATTGTCTTTAGGGCACGGTGTTCAGTACTTGGGAAAACTCACAGAGTCAGAACTTTCTGTTTAGCCCAGTCAGTATAGACTATAGTGGTAAGTTCAGAATCCTTGCCTCTGAAAGATATACTGTATCAATTTTTAAAAGGAGCATTTTGAATAAGAACTACCATGAGCTTACTCTACCTATGATTATTTAATTTCATAGTCAATCCTAAACAACCAGTGAAATTGGGAATTATATTTGTCAAGCAAGCTTAGCTAGGACTATTAATTTGATAATTAGGAAATGCTATATTTACTTTATAGGTCATA